TTCAGAAAGCCAATTTGGAACTCTAGCTGAGCTAGCTAGGCTAGCCCAATTCAGAATACACGTGGAGCGGCCACCCCACACGCAATGCCATTGGCACTCAACGTTCGTCAAGACAAGAGGAATAAACTTAGATTTATGGTATCGTCCAACATACTCCAAATAGCCCCTCCACCCGCCGCCATCAAACAGTTAAGTATGATACCCATGCAATGTAATCCTCAACGCCATATGAAAACCGAACCCTAATTCTCCCATGTACTTTATACTTCCAGAGTATTTTCCAAACGCGAAAAGAAAACAGCTCCAATACCCAAGCCCTATGTCTAATTCGAAGAAATACTCATACGCTCCACAACGACTTTCTCGCTTTTCGGACGGTTGTGATGCGCGACGTTTTTGACCGCCAACCCAACCTTGATTTCTCCTATCTTGTTCGCTCCCCCCTTCCTTCGCTCAGCAAGTCCGACGTGTGTGTTTTGGTGCACTGCTGTGGCTCCTCCCCACGATTCTACTGTCTGGTTCTTGTCCGGCCCAGGAACAACAACTAATGTCGGTGTGCTGGGTTTCACGCCCTCCACGAGCCTCTCGATCTTCTTTTCTTTCTTCTTTTCCGACAGCGGACTTTCTTTCCCATCCTTTCTCTTCATTTCACGATCCCTCTCTTCCGCAGCAGCGGCGGCAACTGCACCAAGTGGGCTCGTAACTCTGTTTACGCCGATATGCATATTCAGTGGGCTTGGGAAATTTTGGTTGTGTTTCTTGTTCAAGGAGGTGATGCTTGCTTTATTCTTGATGGGAATGAGAAGCTGGCGTTGTTGTCGGGAAACGGAGATTTGGCGAGCAATGGAGACATCTGCAGCTGTTTTCAAGCGGGCCTCGTTCTCTTCGTCGTTCACTGCTGAGACTGTAGCGGAGAGGGTGCTGGAGTCTATGGAGCCGTTAGATGTCACTGAAGGATTGCGGTGTTGACGTGGAGCTGTGGTCGTGGCGCTGCGTTGGCGGGTCTTGGGTGGCGGGGGCGAGCTGATGATTATAGCTTTGTGAATTGATGAGGTGTTTTGGGGCGCAGATGAGGCCGATATGCTTGACGCGGATGTGGACGTGGAGGAGGTTGAGTTATCTGAACCCGATCCCGATACTGACGAGGAGGCTGTTGATGCGGTATGCTTTTCTTCATGTGGATTGATGACCATCTCCCACGCGGGTTCAATAAGTTTGACCTTCATAGGCATATATGTGTTGTCGTTGGCCCTCGTAGCCATGGGAGATGTATCGTAAATATCTTCTTCTGATTCAGCCCCTTCAATACTGACTGGCGAGTCGAGAATCAGTTGTGAATGGTCAGGAGACCATTTGCGTATGTGCTGGTGCGCACCCAATACTTTAGACGAATCTGAAGAAACTTTTGGTTCTTCTTTCTTTTGAACCTTACCTGCTGTCGATGGACGCTCGTACTGCAGATGCGATGGCCCAATCAGATTGGTAGGGGGTGATATGAGAATTTCGTGGGCCTCAATCTCTGGCCCAGGCGCGAAAACCGGGCGACTAGGAGAAAGTACAGCGGGTGAGGTATTCGAGCGCTGAAGCGGAGTCTCGCGACCCCGAGAAGGCGACGGTTCTCTAATTGATAGTCGTGTAGGCGTGCTAGGCCAAAGTGAAAAGGCAGGACTCTTGGCTGGCTGAGGTGATGTTGCCCGTCGCGGCAACAAAATTCTCTCTTTGTTCTGTAGTTCCCGCTCCTATCAATTGAGTTAGCATCCAAAATATACTAGAGAGTTCTATGGAAATCAGACTAACCCTTATGGCAAGGTCTTCATTAACAGTCTTAAGCTTGTCAAGCGTTGCCTGTCTTCTTGCAAGTAATGACGAAGATGTATTCGTAGACTTCTGAAGAACACTCCCAAACATGATGCTATATCGTTCCATTTGAACAGAAGGGATATCGACATCTAGCATTTGACCTGGGTGAGGAATATCCTTTCGGCCAGATTGGATAACATTGTCAGCTAAAGCCATGCCATCTAGTGTAATCGTTGGCATATTGTTAGATTGCCCATTCCCTTGGAGATCAAAATTAACAGGGGCCGTATTCGCCCTCTTCACGGGTGGCTTCTTCTTGCTTGCCTTCCGCTGAGAAAAGGCCCTCTCACGACCGTGCGACTTGGGAGTCTTCGGATCAGCAAAGGTAGGATCTTCGAAAGTCATACTTTCTGCAACTGGGACATCTGCCTTCTGAATCGGCTCTGGTTGAAGTTGGTAAAATGGCGTTACTTGGCTTGCACTCTGCTTTCTGCCTCCGAAGATTCCACCCAGCATTTTCCACTTGCTAGCCTTTGGCTTTGAAGGTTCCACCAGTCCACCCATTGAGTCCTCTATCATGTCAGGAGAAGGGCTTCGGGTAGCATTTAGCAATCGGTTTCGCGTTTGCCAATCTGTAGGTTGGTGACTTGGACTTCCCAACGCCATACCTATCTCGGTTGGCAGGACGGACATGTTTGTCGGTGTTGACGCCTTTGAATTCGGAGTAAAGGGTCGAGGAGCCGCTAAAGAGGATTTTCGGGGTGGCGGAGGTTGCGTTTGATCTGGAGTGGGAAGCGATCCTGGGAGGGGAAAGTCATAGACGCTTATTCCTTTTCCATGCGCAGTGAGAGGATTGAAGTGTAGATCGTCTTGTGTTTCCCTCTCGGACTCTTTTCGCCGCGATGAATGCGAAGAAGGACCACCAGCAGTGTTAGGTCTTTCTAGAAGCCTCCCACGATGCGGCTGGTCGAAGTCGAAATATTCACAGGTGGTTATGTTGCTGGCTATGGCCTGTGCATCATCTGTAACATGATCTGGTGCTTCAGGCAAATCCACGTCTCGGGTTTTCCACCCAGGCCCTTTTTGGGACTTCCCGGAGTTGAACCTTCTCATCGTCGCTATATTGGGAGATACGAAATCCTTGTATGACTGGTGGTAAATTCGCCTCCAAACTGATGGATATTTTATGAAACGGCCGCCTTCGAAAGTATATGCTTGATTAATTATTGATTTTATAAAATATGTTAAAGGAGTGGACAGGTTCGCCAGGAAACCCTTGGTTTAATGATCGCGAAAGAAAGAACGAAATGGGCGAAGGAGCGAGTTGAGAAAGAGAGGCACGGAGAAATGAGATGAATTATCTACAAGTACTGTAGCTCTCCTCAGCCCTGCATCGCAGGCGACTGACTTACTGGGTCGTTTGAGATTGATGAGATGACATTTGATTACGGGTGAAGGGTTGATCGACCACAAGGATGCATATCGCAATCCTGTGGAGATGTCGAAGATATTTGACATGGGTAGGGAGGAATTTGAGGGGCGTTCTAGAAGAAGAGGAAGATATGAAAGGCTCATCGTGAGATTGTGCGTATCAGATTGGGGTGAAGCAGCGCGCATTAATCTTACTGCAGACCCCAATTGCAGGGGCTGCAGGCCACTTCATCTACGATGAGAACAGTTCAACAGCCAGAAATGCCGACATGACAGGTTGTGAATTTTGTCGGGACTGAGGTGTCACCGGCGTTGCATACATGGGTAGGGACAAGAATAGTGGCATTATGTGAGTTGTAAATATGGGTTTGGAACTGTTGCAATGAAGTGAGGTGAAGTGGATGAGGGGGTTATTGACATTCGAGGTCGTTTTTAGCCTGATCCTTCCTAGTCGGAGATCTGACGCGGAGAGGTGAAACAAAGACCGTGCAGTGAGTGTGCTCTACTTTCCGCTTTAGACACTTGCACCAAAGACGACTATTTTCAACGAGCGTTCCCTGTGCAGACTTGCTCCAAGAGGCACAACTACTGTATGAAGTTTCGAGCCTTACCTCCGTAGACGTTTCCCAACCAGGCTTGAATCTAGGCTTCACATAAAGAGTGTGGAACTAGGTACTGGTAATTCTTCCAAGATTGCTGTATCCAGGGTTCAATGAAAATCGTCACGCATTGCATTGAGGCTGCGAGTTCTGACAACTGCATCTTGAAGTTGTTGCTATTGCATCTCTTGGCCCCTTTTGCGGCTCCAAAGCTCGAGATGGCTTTCCATGATGGTGTTTGGTGGTTGGTTTCATAAAAGGTTTGTGACTGAGGAGATGATCTGATGTGGACCCCCCGATCGAGACCCCGTGCCCGTGCTGGCACTATCTATTATCAGAATCTATGGATCAAGGTCATCTGTGTGTTGGCAATTTGGGTGATCCTACTACGTAGTATGATCTTTGGCCATCATTGCTTATATCTTCATATTCGCAATGTGGAGCTTCAACCAGATGATCAAGTCCGGGAAAGTCCGGTGGATATGACAACAGATCATGCATTGATCAAGGATCCAGAAAAGCCCTCGAGTCTTTCGAGACATTCCTGTGAGTCTCTTCGAGCTCTGACAGTTTGATTTTTGGTACTAGTATATGTTCCTGTCCAGATCTCCAAGGAGCCAAAGTGGCCTTGGAGCATCATCTTCCTAGAGAAAGCACATGGAAGTTCAAGCCTCCATAAACTCATGCCTTTAGAAATTACAGCTTTGCTATCCTCATCTGAGGCACTCAGCGCTTTGTAAAGAGATTGAATTTGTATTTGTATAGAAGGATAAATGCAAAATGACAAGGCTAGCCTAGAGGAGGTCCGGAGAGGTCACAACTTGACTTAGAAGCATTATCTCACCTGCTAAGGTTATTGCTTAATGACAGATGCTTCGTAGCAAATGCAAGTTGCATTATCGTTGAATGTTTAAAGATTGAAATCTGAAAATCAGACTCGTCACCGCTACAGTACAACTGGCAAAATAACCCCTCCAACCGAATTAAGCGAAGGACGCCATCGCCCGCCTTCAAACTTCTTAGGCGCGAAACCAAGAGGGCATCGCACCTCATCAACAACACGACTCTTCCGCATCAGCTCAACGTTTCTCCGAACATTGCCAACTGCACAAACTCTTTCATACAGGCTTATTTGTTTCTCGTGGTTTATTTAGATACACAACCCTCAAGATGTCTTGGCAAGGTAGGTTCAAAATTCTGCCACCGATTACCCCTCCTACGCAATGCTGACGCGCAGTTTGTAGCATACGTCGACTCTAGGTACGATATACGAAGTTGAGGATAAGGATATGGATTGCGACTGATGGACATACAGCTTAATAGGTAGCGGCCATGTTGACAAGGGAGCCATCTACAGCGCGAAGGGCGATAGTGTTTGGGCTACCAGTGCAGGTTTTACCGTATGTTTCATACCCCTCCTCTCCCCTCTTTCAAGGCCACTATCGTATGGTTCAACGTCTTGGAAGCTTGGGTTTATAGAAGTATTTGGCACAGGCCGAGGCTGATATCGAGGCTAGATCTCCCCGGCTGAGATGCAGGAGATCGTCACTGGTTTGAGCGGGAGCTACGACAAGCTGTATGCTGAAGGACTGCACATTGCGGGCGAGAAATTTGTTCTTACAAAAGCAGAAGACCGAAGTCTGTATGCCAGGAAGGTCAGTACCACCAGTCCCTGCTTCAAAAAGCTGGATAAAATATCTGACGAGGAAACAGGGCAGAGAAGGCGTTGTTATTGTCAAGACCACACAAGCTATCCTCATCGCTCACTACAAAGACGGCATGATTGCCGGAAACTCCGCACAAACTGTCGAGCAGCTGGCGGATTATCTCATTAGCACCGGATACTAGGGCAATGGGAACGGGTGGGGGTGGGGGATCTTAGGAAGCGTGATGTGCATAATCGTACAGGATAACTTTTGGCATTCATAGGGCAGATACTAGAATAGTGTCTGGTGTTGAACGGATATTGGCATATCTGGAGGGATGTGTGTGGATAGCCTTGCGGAAGCAGACAGGAAGGGGACAGAACGCTTTGCATAGGTAAAATGAATACATGACTTCTCATACTGAAGCGCCCGTGGTCCTAGTTCCTTTTCTTCGGAACTAGATGGCGTGAGGAATGGTATTTGACCTTTCAATAGTCACGTCTTGCTGCCTCCAGAGCTGAAGGCTCCTGTTATGATTTTGGGTTCCACAGCATAGGACTACTTCCCGAGCACGACTTTTCTATCTTTTGCTTTCTCATATATCTTATAAGCCGGGCAAGGAGCAACAGCTCTACTTTAAGCCCAAATATACACCCCTCCCATCTAAACATCAAACGCCAGCAGCCCATGCTTGCCAAATAGTACACTTTAAACCCCAGGCATCTTAACCCGCCCAAACATCATTCATTCACAAGAAAGCAACTCCATATATTCCCCCTCCCCCCTTTAAACTCCTCCCTCCTTCAAAGCCCTCCCCTACACAGGCAACTCCGCCCCACTCCTCGAAACCCCCAACCGATCAACCAGCATCCCAATCGGCCCCCCTACCACCGGCAAATTCCTCGCAAACCCAGCAATCGTGCCCAAAAAATCCCCAAAAAGTATAAATATCCCATACAACTCGATCATGAACCCCACCAGCGCCCACTTCATCAATATCAGAATGAGGCCTGCGAAAAAGGCAGCGGTGCCTTTGAGTTTCTGGCGGCGCGCGAAGAAGAGGAGCGTTTTGGAGGGCCCGATTATTATTGTTAGGCCGATGAGGAAGAGTATCTGTGCGGGAGGAAAGATGGATTGTTAGAATGGGTGGTTTGGTGGGGGGAAGGGAGGGAGAGGGTGGGAATGTACATTGCCCATTGCTAACCTGGAGAAGAGGGGTCAGTTATGGGGAACAAGAAGAGGGGGAAGGGGAAAAGACATACATGGCGCGGTCGAAGAAGAGGATTACGCCTCCTATTAAGAAGAAGCCTCCTAGACACCCATCAGCGCTGTAATACCATGTTGAGAATACCTGCAGACGTACCGCCAGAGCAGAACGCTACTCCGATTTCTGTACAATATAATCATTAGCTTGGCTGCCCCAAATTCATGCAATTGCGCGAGTCCTGGTCTCCGGCGCAAACAGCTTTCTAGAGGCGACGCGTTTGCGAACGGGGACGGGATTTGGCGAATAGGGAAAGGAGGGGTGAAACTTACTTTGCGAATCTGATAACCACATGGTAGGCATCCTGTAATTATTGACGGGTGAAAGGAGAGGGGTAAATTGGGGAGCGTGTGTGCGCTTTGGAGCATGGACGTAGACGTGTATGAAATGGACGTGGGATGAGGAGAGCTGGCTTGTTGGGCATGGACGCGAATGCCCCACTTTGAAATTTAAATTCGCGATGGGATGTGCTTTCTAGCTTCACCTGCTTCTTTTTTCTTTTCCTCCGATATATGTTTTGACTTCAACAGAGGCACAGAATGTCGTAACACGATCAGAGTTTCGTCTTCTCCTTTGAATCTAAAGAGGGGAGGGATTGTGAATGTCTATTGAGGTTTGTTTATAGATGAGAGGACAAGTGGATGTTTCACACAAAGCTTCACAAAAAGCCCCTTGAAAAAATCACTGCCGCGACGATCAGAGCATTCGTTCTGGTGACTGAGTTTATTCTTCTATATTTGCTCGGTACCACGTCGTTTTTCAGGCAGATATAGAACTTTGATCGCGATTAAGCCGGAGCGTCTTCTTGAACTGCTTGCTGAAAGGCAAGTGGCGGGTGGATTGAGCTTGACTTTGTCGGTCGGACATGCTGATCTGGATTTTGAAAATGCGAATCTTGTTGTTTGGTCCAGTACTTCCAACCATCGACGTGATTCATCCTCTTGCTTGGGTCTGCCAAATGTGCGAGTCCAGTGGGGAGGTAGGTACCCAGATCTCGTCCAAAAAAACGATTTCCAAGCCTTATACAGTTGTCCTTTTTAGAATCTAATATTTTTGAAAGCCATTTGAAAAGCCAGACGAATTGGCGAGTATCTCCAACGCTTCCTCCGTTTTTGTAATAAAGCTGAGGTCTCGCAAACCTCACTTCAGCACCGTATGAGCTCCCCTCGCCTCCAAGTACTGCTCCGCAACTCCCTGTCCCAAAGACCTAATAACCCCAAAGATCTCCTTATTATGATACCTCAATCTAGTCTTCGGATCCGTATACGGTGCTCCCAACCCAGTGATATCACAATAATGCTTAGTATGCGCCAACGAAGGCGCAGATTCAATATTCGTATACGTAGCGCTAGGCGCGGTCGAGAAGCCATTTGATCTCATATTCCTCTCCAGAACCAGCTTTGAAAGATTCCGTGATGCTTGTGCGAGGTTGGGCTGGAGTGTAGAGCTGGTTGTAGATGCCGCCGGTGTCATATCGCCGTCCGTAGAGGTGCTCGTATCGTCTTGGAAGGGGGTTGCTGCTCCGCTGTTGTCTTGGGTGGCTATGGCGGAGGCTTCTTTGCGGACGGCGTCGCCGAGAATGGTTTTAATGTTTTTATTGCGGCGTTGGTTGGGTTTCCAGTGGGTGTTGCGGAAGGGTCTAGGGGTGGAATGGATGTCGAGTTGGTCGATGAGCTTTTGGTGGGCATCGGCTTCTGGAGTTGAAGGTGCCATTGTTTCTTCGATTCCCGCGGTGATGTATAAGGGCAGAGTGTTGTGAATTTAGAGAAATAGTTGTGGAGGTGAGGAGCTCGAGTTGCAATCGGAACTCTCGCTCCCTTTGAAGATGATTGGCCTCGCGAAGTGCTGCCGCTTTCCCCTCCTCGACGCGTCAATATAAACCGCGATAACTTCTCGAACCACGAGATCAAGGAAACAAAAGATGGTAAAGAAAACTTAAGTGCCTTTTATAATCTACCTGGCTAACTAAGAAAAGGAGAGCCCTCATGAGCACCAGCAGAATCTGCTTCTGTCGCGTATCATCACAAACGTGGTATGAGTGCCTATCAACATCGCAACCTTGATACTGATATTGAATAGGAGAAGCTCAATGAAGCCGTCATGCTTCTGAATAAAAACCTCCAAGTAAGCAACACTAAATCAAGTTTTGTAATTTTATCAACATAGCTAAATTGTGTACAGGAAATCAATATCCAAAACATGAACGTCGAGCTAGTTGCCCAGATGTTCAAAAATTACCAGTCCAATGTCCTCTTTCACTTAGAAGGTATCTATTAGCTTCAGTGATAAGAAGTATCCTGCTAATTTACTTATAGCAACGGACAGTCTTAAGGACCCTTCATGAAGGGTGTTTGTGGTTTTGAGGGAGCATGGAACGAAATGGAGTTAGAGGCCTGAAAGTTGAATGTCTACACAATGCAGGAATGATTAATAATACCAATTGTGCCTCTAAGTGTCTAATTATAATGCATTATTGCATTGTATATGCTCTGGATATAAAAACTTGAAAGTTCATGTCCTCTTTCAGCCTCGTCAAGGATCACCAACTTCGTGCTGTAGCCTCGCCCTTCGGAAACCATGAATTGACAAACCAGGCGCAATCTGTCGCGAAGCAGCTTAAAATACACCACATTGACCGCGACTTTCCGATCCTCGAATCTAAACGTCTTCCAACATCAATAATGAGCTAAATCTCACTCCCTCAAAGCTCTGCGTATCCACAAAAATGGCGCCCTCTGCCACTGGACCTGCTTCTCAAGCAGGAGAGCCACAGAGTTTCCTCCCACCGCCAACCACCTATCCGCCCCGAGAAGCTCACTTCGAGAGGTTTATCGATACTCAACCAGACGGCTACGAAAAAGCAGTATCTCGCGGACCAGGGCGAACGGCAATTGTAATCGACAATGGTATTCCCCCCTTCCCCCTCTCATGACGATCAATTAACACAACCCCTAGGCTCCTCATTCACCCGCGCCGGCTGGTCCTTTGAAGACAGTCCACGCTTGAACCTCGTTCCTATATATTCCAAGTACCGGGACCGCAAATTAGGCAAAACGTATTCGTTCGTCGGGCAAGATGTCTACGCCGACACAACAGCGCGGGGACATATGCGGAATGCTTTTGAGGCGGGTAGCGGCATTGTTAGTAATTGGGATGTAATGGAAAGTGTGTTGGATTATGTGTTTATTAAGTTGGGCGTTGATGGGCAAAATGGGGGTGTGGATGTGCCGATTGTTATGACGGAGGCTCTGGCGAATTTGCCGTATTCGAGGAAATGTATGATCCCTTCCTTTGTGTTTGAGGTATGTTTCCTGACGGGCAAATATAGCGATGACGGAGATTCTCTTTGAGTGTTATTCTGCGCCCTCCGTGGCATATGGGATTGATGCACTTTTCTCCTACGATTATAATAAGGGCAAGACGGGGCTTGTTGTTTCCTCGTCTCACAGCTCTACGCATCTAATTCCGGTCTTGAATTCAAAGGCGCTGTTGACTCAAGCGACGAGGGTCAATTGGGGAGGGTCTCAAAGTGCTGAGTATTTGCTAAAGCTCATCCGTCTAAAGTACCCCACGTTTCCAGGGAAGCTCAACTCCTCTCAAATGGAGCACATGGTCCGAGATCACTGCTATCTATCAGAGGACTATGACCAAGAGCTAAGCAAGTATCTTGATTGGACTGGTCTCGAAGACCGGGACCATATAATACAGTATCCATTCACAGAGGAGGTCATTGTTCAGAAGAGCGAGGAAGAGCTGGCCCGAGTAGCAGAGAAGAGAAAGGAGAGTGGAAGACGGCTTCAAGAGCAAGCCGCAAAAATGCGCTTAGACAAGCTGGTTCGCAAGGAGAGCGAGCTCGAGTATTGGAGAGACCTCCAGAGGAGAATATCAGAGGCGCCCACCAAGAAGGAGATCAAGCGATTACTGGATGAGGATGAAATCAAGGATGAAGCGGCTCTTGAGCGAATGGTCAAGGAGCTCGACAAATCAATTCGCAAAGCTCGAACCAAGGATGTTGGGGGTCCAGAGGTCGAGGAAGAAGTTGAAGCGCCAGACTATAGTCTCATTGACATACCCGACGAAGAACTAGCTGGGGACGAAGCCAAGCTTAAACAAAAGCGCGTCCAAAAACTCATGAAAGCCAACAACGAAGCCCGAGCACGGGCAAAGGCCGAAAAAGAACGAGAAAAGGCCCGTATTGCGGAGGAGCAACGCGTCGACGACGAGAGACGCGAAACCAATCTCGAAGGCTGGCTCCAAGACCGACGAAACGCCCGAGCAGACCTGATTACAAAAATGAAAGAGCGCGACCGTCTCAACGCAGACCTAGGAAACCGCAAATCCCTCGCCAGCCAAATCCGCATGAAAAACATTGCGAACCTGGCCTCTGACACCCCAACCAAGAAGCGTCGACGTGGCGGTGATGACGACAACTTTGGTGCCAACGACGATGACTGGGGCGTCTACCGCCAAATCGCCACCGGCGATGGCGGCAGTGATGATGAAGAAGAAGAGGATCTCGGTGCGGGCCTCAAGACGCTCGAAGCCGACTTACTGAAATATGATCCTGAGTTCACAGATCAGCACACGTTGGACGCCCAGACGGACTGGACGAAAAGTCTTGTGCATGCCTTTCTGCGCGGACCCAGACCTTTTGATCCTAAAAGCCAGGCGGAGGCGCACCAGCTGCATCTGAATGTCGAACGGATCCGTGTCCCGGAAGTCATCTTCCAGCCCTCGATAGCCGGGCTCGACCAGGCGGGCATCGTTGAGATTGCCGCTGATATACTAACGCATAGACTCAGTGGCGTTGGGCACCAAGGGGATTTCTTGAAGGATATTTTCTTGACGGGGGGCGCCTCGCTGTTTCGAAATTTTGATCAGAGGTTGAGGGAGGGGTTGCGAGCGCAGTTACCAGCTGATAGTGAGTTGGTGATTAGAAGGGCAAGAGATCCGGTGCTGGATGCGTGGAAAGGGGCAGCGAAATGGGCTGGGGGAAGTGCATGGAGGCAGGTTGCTGTTACGAAGGAGGAGTATATGGAGAAAGGGGCGGAATACATGAAGGTATGTGATGAGATTACTATTCGTTTTAAGTCATCAACTTCCCAACTAACTGGTTATAGGAACATGATCTTGGCAACGCCTATTCATAAGGGGCGAATAATTCACGGCGGTACGTCTTGGGGCGTTGAAAAGGAAAATTGGTTCATGGCAATGCAATAGGTATATGCATGTGCATCAATGTACACAGCATTTCTACCGGCCACTTTTCATAAAAGTATTAAAAAGATTAAGCAAACGCCGACGCCGGTCTCTGTCCCCAATCCTACCCGATGCATCGTTCACGAGTGAAGAAGTCATAACGCCTAGTCCCTATAAACCATGTAATCCGCAACGCCAGTGTCAAAATGTGTGTCGAGGAACAGTTCTACACGGACATTGAAGTCGGAAGGCCCTCAGAAGCTTGTAGCTGAGACCGAATGATTTCCTCGTCTGCAGCTTCATCTGCAGGATTGTCTTTGTATCTCTTGTGATCGTATCCTCCGTGCTCTTCTGGTGCAGCATGCTTGCCAGAATTTAGTCCCGCGGCAGCAAGATTGCGAGCAGCGGAAGCATTTAATTGACTCATCGATGCCATGGGCGCGACCGGGGCACCTCCTTCATGACGAGAAGGTTGTTCTATATGATCTTGTTGTTGTTGACGGGCATGGGGATGGCGAAGGTCCACATTGGGTGGTGGTTGAGGGAACTCGCCTTGCGACTCGATGAGGCGGGATTGCAAGTGGATGATATATTCCCTCAACGAGTAGTTCTCCGACTGTATGGACTTGTAGTTCTCCTCCAACGCATGCATTTCGCGGACCTGCTCCTCAAGCTTCTTGATATAACCCTCTTTGCGCTGGCGGAAAGCTCGCTGTAGATAGAATTGTTTACGTAAGCTTCTGGGTCGTGGGATGGATGACATGAGAATTGACAAAGCAAGAAGACCAGTAACAAGTTTAACGAGGTGCTCCCGACTTCAGGAAAACCCCATCGCGAACTCGAAACATTATATCATCATCGCCATCACGACTCGATCAATGCGACAAACGTACCTGAGCTGCACGGTTCTGCGCAGCGCGCTTCGACTGCGAGAGCTCGCGCTTCCCTCCTTTGCGCCCATCGCCCAGGCTGTCGTCGCCGCTGCCGTCGCCGCCCGTACTCATCATTCCTCCGGATCCTGGATGGCCTGGGCCGCCGATGGCAGGGTCGATGTTGTGGTCGTGGGGACTTGCGCTGCTCGATGCTGGCCCGTCGTTGTAGCCATGGGAAGCGTGTTGCTGGGTACTAATGACAGCTGCGAGCTGGGCTCTTAAGTCTGCAGGCGCGGAGATATCATGTCAGCAGGTACACAAGGGGGGGGTCGATTACTAGTCGGTATTTGTATAACTTGGGGAGGCCGGCATTTTACCATTATCTGCACTCATGTCCTGCGCGAGTGAGTCAGCTTGAGGCCGCAAACCGTGAATGGGTACAATATGGCGTGGTCTGGTCTGGGTGGTATGAAAGAGATTAGGTGAAGTAACAAGCGCAGAACGGATTACAACGCAAAGATACAACCGCCGCCTGATGAGGAATATGAAGGGGAGGGGGAGAGGTAGGTAGAGAGAGGCTGGGGGGGGGTGTTCGTGGTTGGAAAAGGTCCGTAAGGGAAGTAACTAGAGGGAGGATATGGAGGAAGGAGGGGAGGGGTAGGTACCTGATTCTGCATGCTCTGTGGCATTGGTGCAGGCGCAATTGACTGCATGGTCGGATTCCGCGTAGTTTATTTGCTGAAACTAGATTCTCTTGTTTGCGTCGTTCGTTTCTCGTTCGAAGCCCTCTGCTGCTCTGTTGCGATGATGCTCCGAAAACACCAACCCGGCCTACCTACGAATGCCTGCCTTGTAAATCTACCTTGGCCTAGATACCTTACCTGGGCTGGGCTGAGGTACTCGGCACTCCACACATGACCGACTCTCGGAAGCTGCGGACCTCAACTTCTGTTTTTAACTTCGTAACAGCTCTCTGACCTCGTACCAGCCAGCAAATCAATTGGCGAAAGGGCTTAGTAAAGTTTATTAATGCGTTCTTCCACAACTGAAAAGCTCCCGACGGGTTATGAAATAGAATCCCCCGCCTCCCTCTTTGTTGGCATTGGCCTATGGAAGTCGACGGTAATCAGGTGGCTATTACTGTTGCTTACATATCAACCCATCGGGGATACGACAATCTTGTCCACGAACCCCGAGCCGAAATGTTCGATGACCGGGATCCTTTCGGACGAAGTGGTCATCGAAGTATCCTCGACGTACAGCATGGCGGCCGCTCTCCAATTATTTGAGAAGCCTCAATTTCTGTGTGGTCCACGTTCATGTAGCGCGTGGCTTACTATGAAGGAGATGCCTCTCATAGCCTGTAGTCATCTATTCCTGTGTTGGTAAGCATATTCTATATTTTGCTAAATTGGGAGAGGAAATTCAAAGTTCAAGTGTCTCGGGAACGACGACTGCCATGAAGAGTTTACCCTTTGTATGACTTTCCTGTTTTGACCAATGCACGTCAGTACGTACTTTCTGCAAGTTCCTGTGCCGCGAGGTCGTCTTTATTGAGTGAGTGTCACACTGTCACCGATTGTCCATTTCCGTCCATTGGGGCGGCGGCTCCGTGGCGGAAGCGCTCCTCTCCACTTCAATTACTGAAGTATTTGAGGTGGCTTTCCTCACTCAGCGCTTACAAAGCATTCTTCGTGTGCTCGATCTATCATATTCCCGCGGTGGGAATGTCCTTATATTCTCTGGCTTCCTTGTGAGAGGACATAAATAGAAGCCAAGCAGATGTGGGGATGCTTCGTCGCTGTAAGGTTGTGTGTGGTGTATACGTGATTCCTTGACTTTATATATTCCGATGGTTTCGAATAGCAGCTGGATCCACAGCCATCCACCGCCTGTTCGTACCAATTGCTAGTCTGCGGACTCATGTAATATTTTATATCAAACCAAGTCTCGCTTCTCAATAATTCCACACGCGACGGCGCTGTTCTAATGCAGCTTTTGAACCTACAAGCGTGTAAATACCATCCAATAGGTTCGTCTCTTTCGTTCAGTATATGCATATGGCGGCAGACGCGGTACCCCAGTAACAGCGGATATTGCCCAGAATCCATCACATCTTGCAAACCGATATCCCAACTTTCAAGCCATGCCCTCTATTCAACATTTATGACCAAACATTTGAGCAAAACAAAGTCGCTTTACGTCGCACAAAGCCCTACGAGTTATGTGATATAGATCTAGATGAACGTCAAGCACAACCGGATTGTTCCCATACCCGTAAGCTGACTATATTTCCTCAGGATATACCACGTGGCATATACTAACAAACGCAGGGCCGTTCCTCACTGGTTGGCGCTCTGAAAGTGAACTTAGCGAGGAGCGAGGAGTGCGCTGACCAGGGGTTACTAACCTCAAGTTAGTAATCGGTGTAGCAGATTCCCTCTATAGGAAGGAAGCTCGCCATAAATTGCCTACTTACGGACGTATTGCAAAGTAGTAAGTACGGTATGGAGTCATGGAAGGAATTAAGCAAGGGCGTACAACTTTTGGACTTCAAAGTCGAGAGCTACTGTACCATGAAGTATTTCATGGCTTAGGGTTATACAGTACGCTCTGTGAAGGGCTCAGATGAGACAGGTCTATCTCTATACGCAATTGTGTATCTAGCATCTCGTAGACCGATATTCGTACACAGAATACCACACCCCATAAACCTCCCTACTCCTAGATCCCCTCCTTCAGCCCGTGGCATTCTGAACCAGTTGCAAAGATAACGCCCTCCCACTTCTGCGGATTCTCAAGCATATCCTCACAGATGCCCTTCACTCATTCGGCCTCTATCACATATCAATCAGCATCACTTCCACTCCAGTCCCTCGCACCAAATAACCCCCACCATCTCCTCACCCCCCGCCAGTCTCCCCCGCCATCACACCAACTTCCTCTTTCGCCCAGCTTGTAAACCCTAACACCATCTCCCTATCCGGCTCCGACACGTCCTATATACGAAAACATCCACTCAATCTTGAACCACATTCTGAGCTGAGTACCGAAAGGCGGGCTGCGCTTCGATTTATAGGCTTGAGACGAAAGCCGTGCATAATGTTGATATCAAGTTGATGAGTAAAGAAAGAAAGCAAAGGGTACTTAGGAACTGGGCATTTAGTTCGCAGTGAACATGGAGGAAGACGCAAAGTGCAGACTAGGTACTGATGCAGCAGTAAAGTACCTATGTGTACAATACAAATACACTCCACACCAGGAAGCAAAATCCTTTGAATTTTCCTGCCTGTGTGCCTGCCTGCGTGGCGGGAGCAGAAATGGGGGAAGAGGAGTAAGAAAGAGCGCGTTACGTTTCTTTCTTTCTTTCTTCTTTCCTTTCCTCCTTCTTTTCTTTTCCCTTCCTTGCACATCTCCTCCCACTCCGGCATGCTAACTCGGATCAGTCGCAGGTTCGGGATAAACGGTAGGCACGTCGTCTCCTCCACAATTGCAGACTGACCTACGAAAACGGCACGGTGGATATTTGGTGATGAGGATACTGATATCGCCGAACATAGCTTGATCGCTTGCTTATTATGCGTTGGCACGATTTCTACGGACGGGGAAGGATGCACTATAACGTCTAGTTCGAAGAGAGGAGAAGAGAGGAGAGGAGAGGGGTGAATCTCAAATGTTTTTGAAGAGGAAGGAAAGACTCATGTCTATCATCTACCCATCCATCCATCCTATTACTATACAACACTTCGTTGCCCAGTGATGGTTTTTACAGTATTAGAAAGAAAGCAAGAGTTGAGACGATGAAACATAACATGACACTCCTCGAGGGTACTGTACTGTAGATAGTGAGATACGTTCGCAATGACGCTGTTTACATATAGATAGCATGATCGACCCAAGTTGCCTTTCTTTGTGAGAATGCAATGCATGCGAACGAGCTCAAATGATTGTTTCAGATGTAATGTCGTGTAAAAGAATACATTGATACAATTCACATCAAGCTCTTAATTCAACGTTGCGTCTTCAATAAACAAATCCTTCACTAAATAAGCCTATGTCATGGCCTATCTCTCAAGAAAGGGTATTCAGAGACAACGAATCCTTATCTCTATCATACTGCTCCATATCGTACCATATAAATCCTTCTAAAATCAAATACCATATGTTCGCCGAATAGTATAGTCGCTATGCAAACAAAACCATCATGCGTGTCCGTAAGGTCTTCTCTACTTCCATTGAATCGAGCATACCCCAATCTTACGCAAATGCAAATGCAAATGCGTGTATCATAAATTGAAACAAAACATATAAATTCTCCCGTCGTGCAATGTCATGGTAATCGTTGTCCCTAGCAGCTGTCCCGAGTCTAGATCAAGACGAATAAATTGGTGTTTCAAGTCAACCCACTCCCTTCACCACAACGGCCCAGCAGCTTCCCTCCTCTCGCCCTTCTTCCCCCAACTTTGGTTATCCCTCTTCTTCTTCACAAGTTTACTCCCCTTGCGCTTCACCTCACTCGTCATCACCACCTCATCCTCATCCTCATCATCATCCAGAAACGTCCACTGGTCCTCTTTTCTCTTCTCCGGCGTCATGGGCGGGCTGGGTCCCGCGCTAGATATCTTGCTCTGGAAACTCAGCATGTGTTTGAGTACTTCTGGATCGGGAGAGGGACTGAGGAGTGGTGGTTCGAGGGGCAGAGGAATGAGGAGCTTCTTTGGTGTGGGATTGATGGAATGTGGAAGCTGGGGTGGGATGGGTGTAGATAGCTTTTTCGCCTTGTGGTTCACGAAACTCAAATCACTCCGTGTCGTGGGCTTTTTCTCCCCGCTTCCGCTGCTAACCCCGACGTCGAACATCAGCGGCCGTCTTGCTCCAAGACTTATGCGCCCCTGTTGATGTGCAGGTGGAGGTGTAGTGGTTACTCGCTTCTCGCCGCTGCCCCTTCCTGGTACGGGTGTAGTATTCATAGGTGTGATCGATGCCGCCAAAACGGCTTCCGCCTTGGACTTATGATGTCGCTGCTCAATTGGCGACACTTGGATGCCGTGTATGTATACGGATTTCCCGGCTTTGAGCGCAGAGTGTCTCGCTCGATCCCTTTTTTCGCGACGTCCGAGCTCATCCCAGGCTCGAGATGCTTCTTCACGCGCAAGCTGCGCGGATTGGATGAGTTCCTTGATGCGTTGTTCCGTCGCTGTCTTTTCTAGTGTGGAGTTTGGGAGGTCAATTTTTCCTAATGTTGTATCGGGTGTTGCTATGGCTTGAGATTGGAGTTTTAACTCTGGTACTGAGGAAGAAGCTGGCATTTTTGGACGAGAAGTTTTGATTTCTGCGGAAGGCATGACTTCCACCGCTTTGGGAGGATTGAATTTTGAGAGTTCTTGGGGAAGTTGGTGGTCTAATGACAATCCAAGACGATCCACTGTTGACAAAGTCTGAGGCTTGGAGTCCACCAATTGAGGAGGGTCTACCTTTGACATCGAGTGCCGCTTAACATCTGCCATTTCCGGAAGATCGGCTATTGACATAGGGTGAGATTTGACGGCAGATAACGGGGGCGGCTCGACTTTGAACGGTGTATTGATTTCGATATGTAGTGGCGCAAATTGAACAGTTTTGTCTGATAGTCGTTTCGAATCTTGAGTCTCGATCACTTGCTTGGTTTGCGCAAGACGCTGAAATCTCTCTACTGGATTAGCGGCGAGTAGGTTGTTTGATAGGATATATGCAATAAAGAATACTGCAGGATCATCAGGTAGTATATCCCATATTAGAAGCGGAATCGAAACCAGGAGCATTGTAGAGTAGCTCTTGTAAACCCCTTCGACCATGGCATATGCTGATAAAGCTGGAATCCCCTTCACCCACGTATACCACTCTTCGACTTCCAATGTTTGATCTTCTTCTAGAGCAACAGAGACGAGGACATGTGGGATCAGTAACTCGCCCGATTCCAGTGTTCTGTTGAGATTTACTGGATTATAGGCATCAAACTTGGAAAATATTGGAGTTGGACTGGGGGTAGGGGATGGTACAGGTTGGCTGAAATTGGCTTTCGCACCACTGGGGTTGTTGTATCCTCGCCGGCGTGCTAATTCAATGCTTGAAGAATGAGGGCCGTCAGAAGCGATCATGTAAGTTGGCATTCTCCCCTTTCCAGCAATCTGTTCGTCGGTCCAGTCCCTCTTTTCTATCCAGGCAGGCTTGATTGCTGCCAGTATCTCGCTGTGAAGCATTGCGGCCGAGAATGATACTCTCGAGGTCCAATTGTCTAGAACATCGATAAGAGCATTGGTAAATAAATGCCTGTCTACACCTGCGGACAACGTTTCGGATCCACATGCGCTGATGGTCTCATTGACACCTCGTACTATTCCAGGAGGAGACCGACCTGCAGAGCAATCTAGCAAGAAAAGAGCGTCGGACTTGGTTTCTTCGAATAAGCTTTGGATGGTCGACCAACTCACAGAAGGCGACGAAGGATCTTGATTGCTGTCAATTATCAGCACAGCATTCTCAAAGAGTGAAGAGAGTTGGAAATGAAGGTCGCCAATTGAAAGTGCAGGTACATTGAAAACAGGGAATGGCAGCAGGCTTACCATAACCAAGTAGACTCCCCAGAGCTGTTTATTGACACATGGCCATTATAATAGACAATTAGGAGGTTCTCCGCAGAACCAAAGTCTGCAACTAAATTCATCGCCATTTCCATGACTTTCAGGTTAGAAGAGGTGGAAGGAATGACCCAGGTCCTGGTATAAAAGCCATAGGAGGTATCGAGAACAGTCCGTAGCCTGTTAATTTCGGGCTGCACATTCACGCCATTCTCTTCCCATTGTACCAAAACTGCAATCACTTGCTGGTATCGAGATCGGCCATGGCTGGGGAACGCTCGGGTCGCCGCCTAGCTATGAAGTTAGTTCTGCTGTACCCAATGTATGAAGCCCTTGGCAATCGATGGAAATTCGATCTTCATAGCACCAGCTGTTGAAAATAGACCTCCCCTTATTCCCCATCTACATTTAGACATTTAGGATTACTTCCTCCTGTCATCATCTTGCGAGATGTTTTTCAACATCGTAATCGTCAAATGCATACCGCTCCAGTTCAAGTAGCCGTATATTCGGCCTTCGAGCTGCTTTCATTGCTTGAACTTAAATATAACCACCAGTACTAGAGCTGCACACAAAAATAGAGGGCTTTGAAAACCTTAGAACAGTATAAGTTATCGCTTACCTCCTCCAGCCGCTTAGCAAAAGTTTCTAACTCCTTCATCTGATATTTGGCTCGAATGGTATCATGTGTAGGTATTGACACTGAGGACATGGGCGTGCTGTTCTCAGTCTTGTTCTGACTCAAGGAACTTGCCTCTTCACTAAAGGCACCTGGACTCTTAATTCCATCCATCTGGACAGCTACACCATTGAAATTCGAGCCGTCATAGCTTAGGCCATCGAGGTGGGTTTTGATCATAGCAGATGGATGCGCTTCAATATAACCTCATTTCGGAACAAAGAGGTGGCATCTGAGCTGAGCTTTCCCGATACGACAGATGACTTCATCGTTTGGTATCCTTTGCTGACGACTCTCCGCCGAGGTGCGTCCCGTGAAACCACCCCGCGCTGACACGCTTCCATGCTCCAAAGATGCATTAATGGGGGTATTATAGTACGACCGTCACAGAGGAGGAGCCACTAAAATGGTCAATTCATTTGGATGAAGGGGTGGGAGACGACCCCGCCAGGATTTGTTCGGGCAGAAGAAAAGTAGAGCTGAACAAACGGTTGGATGGGTTTGAAAGTTGGCAGTATGCACCCTGCATAGCGGGGGGTTTTCACATCTTGAAGGATCGGAACAAGACAAGTAAGTGAGGTGACCCCCGGGATGTTATTAGCCTTGCCACGAGTGCACAATTGGGGGCGTTGGCATTGCTTTTTGGTCGGCCACGAATCCACGACAAAGATAGAAGTTGATATGAATGAGGCTATACGTACGTAATAAGTGTGATGATGACAGAAGTGAAAGAAAAGTGGAGGAGAGTGAAATCGCAAGTTTACTTTACTTCCCCAGCCACAGAATTTCTAGAAGCTTGAGGTTTAGCGTCCGTCGGTACCAAGATCTACCCTGCCTATCCATTATAATCAACATACTATGCTATAGACTTCTAAACTCTTACGTAGGTAGGTACCAATTGACATGTCATTTCCTGTTCCTGCAGCGTTTGTACATTTCTATATAATTATTAATAATTCTGGTTACTGCTTCTATTCCCCCACGGATCTGCTGCCTTGCCTTGCCTTACCCGCTATACTCCCGATTGGAGCTGCCCTGTCATCGCTAAAGCGTCCTTTGACATCAACCTACCAATCCTGTATCAACAACACATCCGAGCACCACTTTCTATACCGCCAACCTCGCTCTTAACCACCATCTCCCTGCCAGTTCAGTACCAGCTCGAAATCAGGAAATCGTGATGCTATCCAGACCTTTGTGCGAAACGGTTCTCTAATTTTGTGCTCACCGCCGCCTAGACGGCTGTGTCCTCTACCCCGCCGCATGGTCCCTCCAGCCAGCCATCTTGCGTTTCTAAGCGCCTGCAACTTCTGAACCAACACAACTCCAACAATGGGCACAAAAGAGCGAGATGATGATGTCGAAGAGAGGCCCAGCGAACGTCGACACCGTTCCAAGTCGGAAAAGGACCCGAATCGCAAGCACAGGCCGAAGAAAATAGATCCCGTCACCGGTGAACCTGTCAAATCCTCACACCGCAGTCACAAGGACAAGGAAAAGGGCAAGGATAGCAAAGTCTCGCAGAAGGATAGAGTCTCAGAGAAGAGCTCAATAGCTGATCTGGTTCCCGAACTTGCGAGAACAGCATCTGCGCCCGGCGCGACGTCAAGAGGCAGTTTGCCCTACCCCTCTTTCAACAAAGCGCATAGCAAGGAAGCAGTGAACAGCAGGGAGGACTTCAAGTTACCAACAAAAGCCAAACCAAATCCTTATACACCAGATTCGACTGATTTGAGTTCCGAGGAGAAGTTGAGGTCGAAATCAGCGGAGCATTTCAGACCCTCCCAAGGATCAAATACACAGAAGGATGGCAGACCCCCGAGTCCACCAGAGACTGAATTCTCTCAGCAGAGAAAATCTACATCAAGCCGGATGTCAAAGGTGCAGGAGGAAGCGGAAACGGAGTCCAGACCAGGTTCACGCGCTTCATGGTTCAGCAAATCATCGAAGAAGGAGAAAGATGACAGGTCCAAAGTGTCGGTCAAGTCAAAGGCGAGCACAGCGATCAAGACACCAGCATATACGACCGACAAGGCATTTACCGCTGAAATGCAACGGGAGGAGGACGACGAATCCTCAACAGAATCTAATGCCACATCTGTTGCACCAAAGCAGAACCCCCCTAAAGTTTCTAGTCAACGACCGCCAGCGTTAGATACGAACTCATCTCCGGGTTCTGCCCAAGATTCGTCCCCCGCAACTCCAACACAGACCCCACAATTTCCACCCCCAAGTATGAAGCCCACGCCATCTCCATTTATCCCTTTCGACCAACCCGAAGCAGCTTCCAGCGCATGGGATTCTCCGCAACCCCCACCGCCTCCGCCGCCTCCCAACGTTCCAATAAACATCCCTCAGGTTGACTATCTGCTACAAAATGGAGGACTGCTTCGTCCAGTATCGAAATCATTACTTTCTGCAACCCCACCATTTAACCCATTGCATAATAGCTCGAGGGTAGGTACTCCCGTTCCATCAGAAATCGAGAAGATATTCGGACCTTATTATAATGTCTTGGATCAATACGAGAGTGTCGTAACTAAGAATGGATCTCTTGCTGTTGCGACTGGCTATAGATCTGTGGCCAGAAGATTATTGGATAGACTGGAGAATGTCTTCAATCGGGATCTCTCATCTGAAGGATGCTTCTGTGTCATGTGCCAGACCTCGGATTCTAGAGAACATGAAGGGAGCAGAGGATTGGGTTGGGGCGAAGTTCTAGAATGGGTCAGTGGTCGTCGTGAACTTCCCATTTGGCCAGCATTTGACTTTGCAACACTGGGTGTGAAGTCTGGAGAGGATATGGCGGGTCTTGGAATTTCCGGACATCATGGCAGTGACGGCCAGAGACCTAGGTCGCCAGTAAACGTTGACCCAGATGTTGCAGATGAGAACATCGAGAACTTCCTTGCGTACGCCAAGAAAAGCAAGAGGACTGTGGACAAATGGCTTTCTAGTTGTCCCCAAACAGCCGCAGCACCTCCACAAGAAGTCGACGACGAGACACTATCTTTCGCCATACTGACGCATCTCGATAATCATGATCGACCCATCTTCAATGCCTTAGTCACTGGTTCAAGCAGTTTGCAACCTGTATCGAGAGCACCGACACCTCTTAGAAAGCCCAGGTCGGATTTTATGGTCAGGACTGTCCAGTCATTACAGAGACTCTACAGATTACCCGTTCCTCCCCGAGACCCAGAAGCCGCTATATATCTTCTGAAGAACCCCCACCTTCATAACCTACTGGCCACAATGTCTTCAATCAACATTTCCGAGTGGGAAATTTTGACTTCCGGTCGATTCGACGGCTTCCTTTGGTCAGGAGCAGAACCAGATTCAACAAATCCATCCCCAGCACCGTCACGTGGCCCAACACCCGCAAACGGGCGTCAAGCATCTAATTCCAGAACCAACACTCCTTTCTCTCCCCTCCGCAACCAAACATTTTCTCCCTCTGTAGTATCCATGGGGTACCCTTCGCGCGGCCCAACTCCGGCGTCCCAGTTCCGCCATCCTGTGTCTAACGACGAAGAAACAGAGATTGCAGTCTTAGCTGAAATTGAGCGAGAGATCTACCAAGGCATGGAAGCGCTCGAAGATGCCTTTGAAGGCTTACACCGGAAAGCCGAGCTCGTTCGACGGGCTCTGCGGGAACGAGGTGCTGGTCTTTCTATGAGCTTGCAGAGTCGACGCACCAGTCATCCTGACATCATCAGTGCAAGCACGCCCGGCTTGGGTCCTGGCTACGAGCGCCCGAGTTGGCAAGATGGCGGGTCCGAATTGATGAGCGAGACGGACTGGGAGCCGGACGAGGAACTCATGAGCGAGATTGCTCCCGATGATAGCGCGAGTAATATTAGTAGTTCGAGGCATAGGCGGCCGAAGAGGAGAAACGAGAGAAGAACACCGGCGTTGGTCGAGGAGGAAGATGAAGATTGATGGTAGGATGGACATTACGAGTGCGCTGTTTATGGCAGACAGACAGACAGACAGACATACATGATATTTGACGACGGAACGACGATACAACACGAACAGTGTGCGATGACAAGGCAACACCCGATACCTAACTTTGAATAATGAACGTGAGCGTTATGGATAGTTGGACAGAACAAACGCAAACAAATAAATGCATTGCTGGCGTTACATTCATTTCATGTATTACAGCATAGCGAGCTGATTTTGAGCTTTCGGATTTCCGTTCCGTAGCTGCTGATCGATGATTTCAAAATATAAGATTTATATCGCAATCTCTCATCTCCTTTACCTGATATTCAAACATCAGATTACAATGTAGGCTTACTTCCCGTTGCGCTGCTTCCAAGTTTACCTTGTCTGTCAGGTACGAGCTAACATAGATGCCTGGCTGCCAACAGTTGTAGTCTCTTCTATTGGGTGATCGTCTGGTGATCACATTGAAGCTTGCATTCGTTATCAATAAAGTTCATTGTGTTTTTTTATAGCTAAGAGGTAAGCAAGTCTGTTGATATCCAAGACATTCTTCCTGCTAATGTACATCTATCCAAGCCCTTCCTTCCTTCATATCGACCATCAGTAAGTAACCTTAAGCAAGTTCATGAATCTCAGGCACATGATTACCCCCCTGTCCCCGAACCCCATATACCGAATCTCCAGGAAGCTCCGAGACCCCGCCCGCGAGCCGCTTCTCATCCTCGGAATCCGACGCCGGCATCTGATGTACCGGGACCTCGTTCGCTTGTTGCTCAGCCCTCAACGCCTCGACCCTCTCCCGCTCCTCTCTCTTGATTTTCCGCATCGCGTATTTCTTATCCTTATGTCGGTACCGGAAATACATGCCTATCAAAACGGCTGCGATGGCGGCTGGAACCGCGAGGCCGAGCCCGAGACGGAGAGCAAACTCGTTCGTGTTGTCGCCTCTGTCTGTGTTTGGGTTTGGGTTTGCGTCGGCGGTTGAGGTCGCTTGGTTGGGGCTGTCGAGTTCTAGGGCGGATGAAGGGACTGCACCGAGGCCGCCGGTGGAGAGGGCAATTATGTGGTCGCCGGTAGCGTCGAAGTCTGTAAGTGCAGCGGAGATGATTTTGTTCTCCAGGTCGAAGAGCAGATACAGGCTCTTCAACATACGGGTTGAGAGGGAATTTGGGAGTCCGGGTGGTGTAGGCTTGATGGCGAGCTGGCAGTCCCCTTTGCCGGGATCCATGTCCATTTTGGGGCCGGTCCCGGCGCGGAATGTCAAATCTGACAAGGGCACATAAAAGGTAACATTTGTATTGTTGGTGCTAGCAAATGTGAAATCGAAGGTACTGCTATTGGAGAGCATCCTGCAGTCTACATTGGCGCCCTGTTCGTCGTTCTTGGGATCATCAGCGTCGAGGATATGTCGGATTTCATCTACAACTTGAGGCGGGAAGTAGGAAAAAGCATCGTGGCGATGGCTCATCCCAAAGCTGTGCTGTAGCACTTCCGTATTGTTGAGGCTGGTTGAATTTTGGGTCTTGCCGTCCTTGTCCACAGCTGTGAATGATACGTGTTTGAAGCCCACAGTGAGCTGATCCCTAGTAAAAACTCTGTAATGATCTAGTCAATTAATGCCTCAAAAAAAGTAGGTAACCAGTGACGTGTGCGCGTCCAGAATATGTCTAGAGAGAAAGGGAGCAAGGAAAATTTTACGAACTGTGACACCGCTTTAGCCTCGTATAAACCTGTATCAAGTTCAGTGAGGGGATACAGGTAACGTTTAGTGTTGATGGCCCCAAGAAGTAGATGGCCAGTATGTTTTTCATAAGGATCGAGCCAAATGCTATAGGCCGGTGATTGGATGTAGTCTTGATTGACGAACGCCTCCAAAATGGTGTTGTGATGGCCTCCAGGTTCGTTGATAGACCAGTTAGCAGCCACGTTCGTTGGCAAACCTAAGCCAAGGTAATAATAAGACCAATGGTCAACTGAGTATTCTCCCGAAGTATTTGAGGAGGTTTCTGAGACGAAGTCGAATTGGTTGAAAGAAATCCCTCCAATTACAAGGGTGTCTTGTGAATAGAGGATTGTCTGCCGTGTAACATTCAAAGGATCTGGGTCTTGTCCAACATCTTCGTGCGCCTTGCTGTACTCGGCAGTGTCAATTGACGACTTATAGGTCTTGGAATCTCCAGTCTTGTCTGATGCTGCACATTAGTATTGTAGTGCTATCTCATCCGTCGTCACCTACAGAAAACCTTAGACTCAGTCTGTCCATCCATTGTCCATACATCGAGTGTCGAGTTGTTGATTATCGTATCGCCACATCCAGCGATTGCAATTGTAATTTGTTGCGGAGGCGTGCCGATTGAACAGTTGAAGGTGTAGATCTCACCGACATCAAACTAGATAACGCTTTTAGTCAACAATTTATAAAGGCGACTATATATAACTTACGGAGGTCTGAAAAGGGATTTCGACAGTCTGGCTATTGCTGCGGCCTCCAAGGGCCCTGACTCCATCGTCCACCAGACCTAGTGAGGGCGACGAGCTCTGGGGCAGCGCGGTGGAGACTAAACAGTATGATGATAGAGTGGTTACTGCTAGAAACAGTACACGATCCCCTAAGCGCTTGCGTAGCATCGTGATGGGTTTGGCATACAAATATGGATGTCAGTCTTCTTTTTTTGGGGGACGTCCCAGCTCAAGAGGAAATATATTCACATGTTCAGCACGGGCTTAGCGGAGGGTTTGAAAGCGTGGTATGTGACTACAGAAAAGTGAATATCAATACTTAATACCCTCCAGCTGCTGTCTTACAAATCAAGGGAACTTCTGGAGTGTGTTGAGGCTGCCCAAAGACTACGCAAAAGCTCTACTATGCTAACGCCAGCTAGCCATATTCCGTCGATGAACTTTCTTCGAGGAATGAAGCTCGGTACAGAGAAACCAGGTGCTGAAAGACATTTGGATATCAAGTGGAGTCCAACGCTGTTTTCAGTTCTCCTATGAGCAGGCAGAAGAAGGTGAACTTCCCTTTCCCTGATTGTTTAGCACTTTTGAAGCAGCCTTGTAAGCAACTTTTGATCAATCGTTTGCTCATTGAGTTCCGATAAAATGTGTTTCTTTCTGGTCCATCCGTAGTCGGATGGAGTACAGTTGAAGATAGGGGCGTATCTTTGATCTGTTGGAGCAACAACCATCAAGAGCCGACAAGTGTTCAGGTCTCGTTGCCTCATGGTGAGTGCCCTAGTCGAGGCATACTCAGCGAGTTAAATGACTTACAGCATAGCCTCGCTACGGCGTAAATTGTTGTTTGGCGTCTGAAGTAGTACGAGCGTGCTGCAGCTGTGTGCTTGGCTTGAGAAGTTGCAAGCACGTCGTAAGCCGACCATTGATTGACAAGTTAGTTCAGAAGAGATTATACGAAGCCAAGGCCATCGAGACGAAGCTGGCTTCGGCTGGCTGAAGTTTCAAAAGCAGAATGTAAATCAGCAATTCAAATAAAAACACTGTTGATAGTCTTCAAATCGCGCAAACAATCCCCGATGGACAATTCTCGAAACGGGGCTATCGAGAGGAGGCGCAGGCAGGTGTCACACTCCGTCCAGAGCGGAAACGGCGACCTTTATACTTCCCACACAGCGAGACACGGTGTCGAAACTATTGATAGAAGCTGGGCGATATATTTCAAGGTCTGATCCATTATGGAAAGAGTTGAAGTTTAAGGCTCGTACAAGTAGGTAGAGAGATATGTACCGGTATGGTGTAGCACCACTTCTTTTGAGTCGATGATTATTATTTTTCAAGCCTATCTCCCTAGGCCTCTTGGCTCGGAGAAATCGTATTCCTACGTTTCCACTGTGGCAACAAAACCTACTCGCAATCCCCAAGGAATCTGAAAACGCAAGAGTCTCGAGAAGAAGAAGAAGGACATATAGCCGGCTGGGAGAAACAAAGTACTGGTGGACTTTTATAGTAGATAGATAGCGATTAGCCGTGTCTATAGTAGATTGCTGTAGTGCGTGCGGTACGGATCGCGGTACCTACCTAGGTACAGTACAACGGAGATCGTAAGGCAGACGCCATTGGTGCTGTTGCTGTTCTGGGCTTGGGGAGTCAGTGCGTTTTGAATCCAAGGCGAACTGAGGGGGCTCCCCCGTCCAGTTTACAGCCTCTTGCGCCCCGTCACATCTCCCCGTTTCGCGCATCCTCCATGCCGGCATCTCCGTTGCAAACTGTTGCTGCCGCATTCCATATCCCATTTCCACCTCAGATCCATCTTCCTCTCTAAAGCAGATCGACGAAATTCACGATAGAAACGATAGGGCCGGCCGACGGTTCATGCTCCATGCGATAACCGGCCGCGGCCCACACCCTCGCAATGAGCGACGACATCGCACCTGGCGTGAAAAGCATCATCAAGGCGATTGACTCGGGTATCAAGCTGGGAAAGAGGGTGGCAAGGTCTTCTGTTTATGCTCCTGCTGCGCAAGTGCTTCTGATTTCAGGCTCAGCTCAAGAGCTCCAGAAATCATTAGCGGGGACATCTAAAGCTATCAGAGATGCCTACGATGAAGCTGTTGAGAAATGCGGCGAACCGTTCGTTAACGCGCTGCTTGACGAACGTAAGTCTTATTGTTACGCATAAATAAGTGGTGTAAAGTGCTGAAAGCTTCCCAGGGGAAAACAACCAGTTGAAGGAGCTCAGAATCGACCTTATTGACCAGACCGACAAGTGCCAAGATTTCGACGAAAACCCCCTTCTATTCGACCCAAGTGCCTTTACGAATGTCCAACGCCAAGGCGATAAATGCTGCGTCCAATGTATAGCAATATTCCACGCTGTTCGGGAGCGACTCCTCCTGAACGGACTCGGGAACTTCAGAGTGGAGGAGACTACAAGGAATGATAGGGAGCAATTAGCGTTGATGAGAGAGAACAGCAAGTTAGCTAGCACCAGTGATGCCCATGCGAGGGAAGCCACCATAAGAGGTCTCCCA